GGAGCTAGAAGTGAATAGTGCAGAAGAGAAGCGGCTCGATTCTTGCGTACGTACAACCAAATACCTTGCTGTTTTGCGCAGGTACTACAACAAGAATGTCAAGGAGCGGTTCTTCGTGGTTGGGGACCTGGTCCTGAAGTGGAAGACGAATTAGGCTGGTGTCCACAAACTCGCAACCCCATGGGAAGGACCCTTCACGATCAAGGAGGTCACACGCCCTACGTCTTACAGGTTAGCTCGCCTAGACGGCATAGACGTACCCAATTCTTGGCACATCGACAAGCTTAGGTGTTTCTATGCTTAGCTACTAAGATATGTACCCCTCTTGTACTTTTGATTTATTTCAATAAAGCTATTATGATTTCTCCAACCACTCTAATGTGTCACTTCGAAGTCTATCGTTATTCTAACTCTACCAGTTAAAACCGACCACCATTCCTTCTCAGGTTTTCAGAGCAGGCCCTGTCTCTGGTTCCCCCCAACGCGTGCATGGGATCCGCTCTCTACGCTACGGGTGATCGGCAGGTGCTCTCTGGTTTGACTTGTGTGTTTCTACGTGTGCACAAGCTACGCACCTCGCACTCCGACCGCAAGTCAAACCAGGGCCGTACAAACCTTTCAGGATGACGTGTCGACTAAACCGATACAACTAAACAGAACGCCAACACGTTCTAACTTAGTTATATCAACATGATATCTGAGCTTAAACATGTTTTTTACAAAACAAACAAGCTTATGTTGATATACAGTTACGTTATTACAAGCTTGCCTAAAAAGGTCCAAGTTTACAATAACCCAACTACATCTTCTTCTACAGCTATAGCCTACACTATTGGCTGGTCGGGGCACGTGGCGCTTGCTGCTCGCTGGGCCTGACATCGTGCTCGGGTCTGGGGGACTCTGGCATTGATCGAGCTGAAGAAGATGGCCCCACCGATGCCTGGCTGGTCGAGATCGCAGGCTTTGCACGTTGGCTTTGAAAATGACGGCGCTCACAGCTGACTTATTGACGGCGTTCCTTGTACGGGTGGTGTCGCACCTTCACACAGGTTAATATCGCCAATTATTTTCGCCGACAAGTCCAGCTGGGTCATCCGTAGCTCCTCGGCTACATGTGATTTGTACTCACATACAGTTGAGAGGCATTTATTTTTTCTCACTTAGACCTTGCTACAAGACTCATACCTCGCCTACCAGCAAGCTCAGGGACTTCGTCGCTCGCTCTTTGACTTGTGCTCGGGGACTGCCTCGACCACTCTCTGACCACAGCTCGGGGACTTCGTCGCTCGCTCCTTGACCTGTGCTCGGGAACTGCCTCGACCACTCTCCGACCACAGCTCGGAGACTTCGCGTCTCGACTACATGCGACTGGTGACTCGCATACAGTTGGGATATTTTTTCTCCTTTAGACCTTGCTACAAGGCTCATACCTCTCATTCTAGCAAGCTCGAGGACTACATCGGTACGATGCACCTGATGGTCCATGCTGTATCTAATTAACAAGACTTTTTTAGACCCTGGCACCACGCGCCTACGTCACCTACTACCAGGCTCGGGGACTAAGTGGGCACACTTCACCTTGCGATGAATGTGCTTATTTTATTCGACCCCTACGCTCTGACTGTTGGCCATAACTACTCCTGTACAAGGGTCACTTACATTTCTTTTCAGAAATACAAGTGGGCACACTTGATCAGGAAAGAAATCTTTTTCTTTTTTCTTTAGAGCACCATGCATTCTTCGGACAACTGGAATCTTCGGCTATAATCGTGGTCTACTGCTCTCTGTGCTGACCAGAATACTGGCACATTTGCTTGGTCAATGTTTCAACCAGTTGGAGATGACATGAAGATAGACCGTGTTGGCCAAAGGTCAAATGACGTGTCGCAACATAATACATGGTGCTCGGGGACTAGCTGTGGGAGTATTAACCCCTGTACCCTTACGGCTAGGTTTGGGCCGGCCCGGACTAGGGTGTCCGTCCCACCAGAAGATGACGTGCGGCCCAGCCGATATGCTCGGAGTCCCGCACAAGGAATCAAGGCAGACTTGGAGATCAAGCAAGATTCTGGTCGGTTAGAATATGAATCCTTATCCGGCCACCTATGGCAATTGTAACCGGTTAGGATTAGTTTCCAGATCTATAACCCTGCCCCCAGACCATATAAGGCGGGCAGGGGACCCCTCTCAAAAACAATCTCATTGACATACAACAATAAAATCAGACGCAGGACGTAGGTATTACGTCCTCACGGCGGCCGAACCTGAATAAAACCTCGTGTTTGTCTTGCGTCACCATCTCGTTCGTAGCTTGCGTGCCGATAATCTACTACCTTGGGCATACCCCTAAGTAGACTGCCGACCATATTTCGTCGACAGACGCCGTCAAAATATATTTTGAGTTTGAGATATACGAAATGTAATTCCTTTAATATATATAATCATTTTAATACACATATGCAGATATGCACTCACAAATATTGGATTAATTATAGTTGACCATGTTTATTTGTCGCATGAGATATATTGTAGTTACCAAAACAACTATGTTTAGTTCAAATATAATTAGAAATAGCTACATAGTTTACACGACACAATGGATCACAATAACATGCATACATTAACTCTTGCATATTGTCTTGGAAACAGTGAAATGAAACTCCCCACTGAGAGAGCCAGTTTCATTTCTCATTTCAAATTGGCAAAACTGATGTGACAGTCTTGAAAACAGTAAAACAAAACTCACCATTGAGACTGGTCTTATGGGATATGAGCATGTGATGACAGTTTTGTTAGGCTTTAATGCCAGTCATTGGATTTGTTGGGGAGAGGAAGAGGCAGGGGTTGGAGATGACTAGACTAAGGCCCTATTCGCTTGGCTGATAAGCCATAACTAAAAGTGTTGTTGGCTGATTTGTTATGAGAAAAAAATATTATTTATTGGATGAAAAAGTACGGCTTAAAAGCCAGACGAACAGGGCATACACGTGCAGGGTCGGGTGGGCATGCAGGGTCCAGTGGGTGGGAAATTAGTGGCGATCTAGTGGTTACTGGTTCAGATTAATTAGTTGATGATGTGGATGTTAAAATTAATTAGTTGATGACATGGATCTCTGTTAAAAATAGGTAGTGGGGTTTTGCTTTATAAGAGTATAAGATTCTTACGCACGGACTTGAGCAGCTGGTGAAAGATTGAGCTAGGGATTTTTCTAATTTTGAAATTAAAATAATTTTAGAAAATCTAGAATTACCATTATATAAAAAAAGAACTTTCTAAAATTCAGGTACCTGAAATTTAGTTTTCTTTTAGACGGAGGTTATTGCATATATTTATACGAAAATTGTAGCTTTAGTTTGCTGCAGTCTATGCAGACATGGTCTGTACTTTTTTTATTTTGAGAATAAAAGACCTATTAGATAAAACCATAAACCCGATAAAATCTGATCTATACTGACACAAAAACAATTAACAATTTATAATTATTTATATAGTTAGATAAGAATAAAAATTTGATATGTTACGATAGAAAGACAAATAATTTATGTGTTAAGGATGAGAAACTCAAAGAAACTATTTGGAGCTCAAGAAAAAATTGGTTGAAGCTTCGAATAAATAGATTAAGGCCAAGGAAGAAGAAATTAAATTCCGAAAAATAGTTCAAAAATTCTTAGCAAGAGATATTCGCCTCTGAACAACGTATTTTACAACATTTTGCACATAAACACTAGTTGAAACTGGCATGAATGGAACAAACCTTTTCAAACACACATTAAATGACCTAGGAGTAGACTCAGGTGTGTTTACTTGGGTGAAAGTTAGAATTTGGGATACTGTCGCATTTTCGTTTTTATTTGGTAAATAATGTTTAATCATGGACTAATTAGGCTCAAAACGTTCGTCTCGTAATTTCCAACCAAACTATACAATTAGTTTTTTTTTATCTACATTTAATGCTTTATGCATGTATCACAAGATTCGATGCGATGGATGTAGCACTTTTTTTGGATTTTGCGGTGCCAACTAAACACGCGCTCAACAACTCCGCTGACGTGCTGCACCCGGAGTTCCGGACTGGTGTCCTATTACAAGAGATTTTCCTTTTCTTTTTTTTTCTCTTTTTTCCCTTTTTTTAACAACAAGCTAAAAGCTGAACCTCAGACAAAGATAGCATCTGGCCTCGGAATGCACCAGGCAACTGCTAGACCAAACCACTCAAAAAAAAAAAAACTGCTAGACCGAAGCCGGACACACAGCAATCATATCTGTTCTGTTCTGTACACAAATATTAGGGCCTCGTTCAGATTGCTTAATGTTCCATGCATACGTTCAAAAATTAATGTGACAGAAAAAAGTGAAAAAATTTGGAATTTGGAGGTGATCTAAACCAGGCCTATAACAACTTGTGCGCGCTTCTGACCCCTACGTTATATAATTAGGCTTGATTGAATGCACTCATATTCACGTATATATTTATGGCACACAATGTGTAAAAACTATCCATAGTTTGTATAGTTTAGGACACTGTAACAAGAAACAATTCTCCCAATGCAACTTTTCTGTAAGAAAATCTGGCCAATCGTTCACTCTCTATCTCAGGATCCTCTGTGCCGCGAACACAGCAAGGTCGTCGCGGGACTCTTCGCCGAGCGCGTCCAGGAGCTCCTGGAGCGTGCCTCCGCGGGCACCAGCAGCCAGAAGGCAGCAGCAACGATTCACCGCGAGCACCAGCGGCCAGCCCGCCCGTCTCCGCCGAGCGAATCCAGGCTGGAGGCTGGAGCGTGCAGACGCGGGCACCAACAGTCAGCATCAGCCGTTCGCCGCGGCACCAGCGGCCAGCAACGCCGTCTCCGCCGAGCATGTCCAGGAACTCTTGGAGTGTGCGGCCACGGGTTTGGTCACTAGTACTAGTTTTGGTTGTTGCGCGGCAGGTTGTGTGTACTGCTCCGACGTCCACATGCATGCTATGCCGAGCAAGTCCGTCAGGCGGCCGCAACCATCGATGGGTGGCCACGAGCTCCGCCGAGTGGTACGGTGCGAAGAGCGTGTCTCTTGCTACTCAGCGCGAAGGTGGCCGCGGGCGCGCTTGACGGCGTCCGCGGGGTCGAGCGGAGTGGGCGGCGCGGCGGCGGCGGACCACGACCGGAGCTACACGGAGGCGGTGCAGGCCGGCTGCGCGCGAGCCCACACAGACGCGACGGGACAGGCCGGCTGCACGCGAGCATGCGCGGACCAGCCAGCCGGCGCGGGGAGGCGGGCGTTGAAGGCCGTGGCGGAGGCTGCGGCGAAGGCCGCCGCCGCCGGCGAGAAGAGGAAGACGTACATCGTCCAGATGGCCAAGTCGGCGATGCCGGCCAAGTACGCGGACTACGCCGAGTGGTACGACGCGTCGCTGCGCTCCATGTCCTGTTCCTCCCCCGTCTCCGGCTCCGCCGCCAAGATGCCATCAAACCGGAGGCCCGAGTTCTTTGGCATCGCCGGCGCCCCGCGGGGACGGCGGCGGCCATCTCCGGGCGGACGCGGCGTCGAGCTGCCTGCGCCGAGGGTCAGGCGCACGGGATCTACGCGGTAGGAGCGGTGTTTAGTTCCTCAAACTTGCACTCCCGTCACGTTAAATTTACGATATATGTATGAAGTACTAAATTTAGATAAAATTAAAAACTAATTGTACAGTTTGATTGAACTTTGCTAGATGAATTTTTTAAGCCTAATTAGTTAATGTTTAGACAATAATTTATAAATACAAACGAAATTACTATAGTGTTTATCGTCACATTAAATACTATGCAAATGCTGATTCCAACCAAACTAAACAAGGGCAGGGAAGGGTCGTATTTGACTGCCGACGAACAGTATTTATGTCTTAATCTACCGACGGTACTTTCAGCCACGACGAGGGCGATGGCCTTCCTAACGCCAAAAGCAGCAGTTTGTTCCGCTCGATGCGCTAGTAGACGTCGCGTCTAACTTAGACGTCGTTTCTTGTATTTTATTTCCTTTTTCCTCTACAAATACAGTGCAAAATTAGCAAAATTTAATAAATAGAGAGATAATAAATAACCGCAGAAACTATGCTAAAGTCTGCATCGTGAGTGTCCTTATGTCTTGTTCGGATACAATTCTATTCACTTTAATCTACGTTCGTTGGAGTGGATTGAGGTGGAATATAATTTAAGGGGTGTTTGGTTACCTCTTCTAAATTTTAGTCGCTGTCCCATTAGATGTTTGGACACATGTATGGAGTATTAAATATAGATTAATTATGAAACTAATTACATAGTTTACTACTAATTTGCGAGACGAATCTTTTGAGCCTAATTAATCCATGATTTGACAATGTTTTGCCACAATAAACATGTGCTAATAACGGATTAATTAGGCTTAAAAAATTCGTCTCGTAGAGTACCGACGGATTATGTAATTTATTTTTTTATTAGTATCCAAATACCTCATGCAACATCCTCCCGACATCCCTCCTAAATTTTAGTAGCTGGATCCAAACGCACCTTAAATTTCACCCTAATCCACTCTGGTACACACGGATTAAGGAGAATACAACTGTATCGAACAAGCCCAAGCTCCAAACCTGCATAAATAATTAAACATTGCCCCTCCATAAATAAGCGCGGGAGTCAAGGGTGGTTGAGCGATGATTTGAGTGGTAGGCAGTCTCCCTCAGCTGATATGTTTTTAGAACTTATCCTCGGTGTCCATCTAAGCATCAAGTAAGCTGTGCAGGTTACCGCACCCATTTTAAGAAAAGTTTAAGTTAATGAAAGAGTGTTGTTTAAGTAACTCACATGACAACTATATTATCCAAAGTTACAGCAGACTCAACTTATTCTCATCTCTGTACAAGTTTGATTCCACTGACTAATTTGGGAAACTATGAGCTAGTGTTTTTGTACCCTTCATGGTGCATCATGAGTATAAATACCCTCATCACCCCTTGCTAGTGGCTACCCTCCCTAGGCAGGAAACAAACGAGCTGTAACAGCCAACAATAGTTGTCCGCGATGAACCAAGCGAGCTGTTCGCGTTCACTGTCAGAGGGGATGCCGAGAGCGCCTAAGTTACAGTTTAACATAGTTTACTATTTACTTAATTTATCAGCAGATGACCAATCATACTTTTACTTTTCTTCATTCAATTGAATCGTATAATGCATTTATTTAAGCGTTCAACATCTTCAGTAGATTATTGGCCATTATCAGACCAGGCCCGGCCCTGTCAAATTACAGACCTGAAGCGAAGCTACAAGCGATGGACCCTTTAATAAAATTCTAATAATATAATGACAATTCTAACAAGTGTAATGCATAAAAAAATTCTTATGAAACAAGTCATACATCTTATCTTACCTTAAAAATTTCTTCGAACATTTGCTGTTGCGAAGTCATTAATGATGGCCTCAATATCAATTTCATCTAACAATTTCTTCTCAATGCATAAAGTTGCCAAACCATTTAATCTTTCTTGGGACATTACGGATCTCAAATAATTCTTCAATAGTTTCAGCTTTGAAAAGGTTCTTTCAGCTGAGGCTACAGTCACAGGCATAGCGAATAGGATCCGATAAGCAATGGAAACATTAGGATAACAATCTGCTTCTGTGACAAACTCAAAAATCTCCATAGCAGACATTGGTTTATCTGACAGAGTAGACTGCATAAAAGCTAACTTACAAATATTTTTTTTGCAAATTTAATGCAATGGTCTTTTAGAGAAACACCATCCAATGCCTTCAAGGATGTTGAATTCATTAGAAATCCAAATTTTTCATTGAATGACTGGAGTTCTTTAAATCTGCTTTTCAATGAACTAATTGCCATATCAACCATAACCAAAAAATAAAAAGCTTCAAAATCATTCTCAGCTTGCAAAATAGCTTCATTGCATTCATTTTCATCAAACTGTTTCTTCTTAATAGAACGACGCTTTACCAGAAAGGATGGCTCTACTCCCATTTCAAGTGCAATTTCTGAATTTTAACATGACTAAGATAATGATACTAAAATTATGCCATACTAAGATAATGATATTGCAGTTCACTGTAAGTTTAGAAAAGTAGTAAGAAATTATTAAATAAAATTATGCCATACTAAATTTAACATGATCGCTGCATCATATGGGGTTCCTAAATCCGAAACCTAAATTAGTCGAGAATAAAGATTGGAGATATTGAGACAAGAGCAGTTTCGTACCTACCAAGACAACCCTACCGAGTAGATCAGGGCAGGAAGTCAGGAACAATCGAACAGAGATGAAAGCACGACACACTCCCACAGGATCGCCGACGGCCACTCCGATGGCTCGCAGCCTCGGCCTCACGCAGGAAGGCAAGAAGTCGGCAAGTCGCGGCCGCGCGGCTGCGTCGCAAGGGCACACGCACGATGTCGCCTTGTGCGGAAGCTGAATCAAACTCACGTCTCAACGCTAGGCCTGTTTGCTTCTTTGCCTTTTGGGCTGTGTATACTAGTATATACTATACCTACTAATATACTAGGGGTTGGGCCCCCTGGCCTCAAGGGCCCAGTTCGGCCGCTCCTCTTGCACCCCCAGGGCCGGGCCTGTATCAGACTATAGGCCAAGGCACTTTTGCATTACACAGCTACGAAGTATATGATTGGAAACAGTGGGAACTAATTAATTCATAAGAGTACCAAAAGGTGTGTTATAAATATAATGCCAGTAGAAACAATATTAGGCGCCACTCTAGTAGTATCAAGCCATATCTCACTGAAGCTAACAAGAGGTCTAGGTTACAATGGTGTGTTGACATGGTTAACAAGGAGTTGCTTGATGATCCAAGGTTTAAGGAGTTGTATGACTTTGTGTTCATTGATGAGAAATGGTTCTACCTATCTCAAAAATCTGAAAGATATTATTTGCTACCCGAAGAAGATGAACCCCATCGGACTTGTAAGAATAAGAACTACATCCCTAGGCTCATGTTCTTGTGTGTTTGCGCTCGACCATGGTTTAGGGATGGGAATTGTATTTTTGATGGTAGGATTGGATGTTTTCCTCTTGTTTGTTATGAACCGGCTATGAGAGGTAATGAGAGAACCGGCCGTGTCCGTGGATACTTGGTTATGAAGCCCATTACATCGATCACAAGAGACGTGATTAGAGAATTCATGATCAACCAAGTGTTGCCGGCCATTAGAGCCAAATGGCCAAGAGAAGATGTGGGTAAACCAATCTTCATCCAACAGGACAATGCACCCTCTCATTTGAAATTGGATGATCCGGATTTTTGTGAGGCCGCTAAGCTAGGAGGATTCGATATTCGCCTAATTTGTCAACCACCAAACTCTCCGAATTTCAACATTCTTGACTTGGGTTTCTTTCGAGCTATACAAGCAATTCAATATAAGAAGAATGCAAAAATAATAGAGGCTCTAGTTCCAGCCGTGCAAGAGGTAATTTGATCAACACATGTTTCAATGTTTTTTGAACAACAAATTTGCTCATTCATTCATTTCTTGCACAATTGTTTTGTAGGCATTTTTGGAGTACTCGCCACGCCTTGCAAACCGAATGTTTCTAACACTATAAGGTGTCTTGATGGAAGCTATGAAAGTAAAAGGTTGCAACAAGTTCAAGATACCTCACATGAAAAAAAAAACATTAGAAAGAGAAGATCGGCTGCCATCTTGTATCCCTTGTGATCCATCATTGCTACATGAAGCTGAGGCTACTCTTGCTGCATGAAAAAATTAGATTGATGCTATAATTAGTAGACATTCTTGCTGCATGAAACAATTTGATTGATGCTATAATTAGTAGTAGAGGCATTCTTGTAACAGTTTAGCATTGCTGGTAGTATTATGAACATGCCGTGCCTGATAGCATTATGAACATGCTTCTTACCGATGCTTTGGCGTCGTCCTTTGTCAGCAGCAAGCCCTTGTAATGCTGCATGAAAAGCTCGCAGTCAACCTTGCTGCGGCCGATCATGGTGTCGATTAGGTAGTCCGCGTGAACGAGACCACAGCGAGGGCATGGATGGAACCGCGAGTGCGCACGGTTCCATGCTTTGCGGTCCTCAGGGACGAGATGACAGCGACCGCATACAAACGCGTCCGGCAGCAAGGAATCCGGCACCATCTCCATGGACTCCGGCGCGAGCTCCAGCGACGCCGAGGAGACGACCTTCTCTGCCTCCAACGATTCCGACGTGATGGAGTCCGGCACCATCTCCATCTCCATCTCCTGCTCGACGCCGTCTTTCGTCATCATCTCCATGGAGTCCGGCGCGAGCTCCAGCGACGCCGGCGAGACGACCTTCTCCGCCTCCAGCGATTCCGACGTGATGGAGTCCGGTGCGAGCTCCATCTCCTGCTCGAGGCCGTCTTCCGTCATCATCTTCATGGACTCCGGCGCCAACGCCGACGTCGAGTCCACCGAGGATGCATCCATGCAGTCCGGCGTGCGGCGAGGGCGAGGGCGTGCGGCAAGGGCGAGGGCATGCGGCGGCGTGCGGCATGCATCGAGCGGATGGGAGACGGCGCTAATAACTCACGCGGCGCGGGAGCCCAAGCGCGAGGGGCAGCAACGTCCAAAGCT